TAACGTTTAATAAATCTATGCGATGGCTGAAGACATCTAGGAGAAATCTGGTAGCAAACTTTGTTCTTCAGACTAGCTCACAAGTTACCAACTACTGTATATTTCACATATTTGTATATTTTATATGTATTTTTATAAGGGAAAACACACTCATTGCTGAGATAAATGGTTCTAAATAATATACCTAGGTACCTAAGCTATTGAACAGTACTGCATATTAATGTATATGCTGCATATTAATATATATATATATATATATATATATATATATATATATATATATATTGATATAGCCTGAACATGACCCTTTATAGTGAGTTCTCCTCTAGGGATTCAACTGCAGTTTCAGTATTAAAGCAGCAGGTGGAGATATGAAACTGCAAGCGGCTGATCAATCAAGGCAAAAAGCACATGCTGTTTCATTTCTCACCTAAAATCCCACATCTTTGCCCCTGTAGTTCCTCACTCTGCCTGAAAAGAAAATGAAAGATTTACATAATTTTGTCTCTGAAACAAGTTATAAATACTGTGCAAAAATATTAGGACCTTGCAGTCAAAATGCTCATTTTTGCACTATACTCAGCCAATTTGATTAAAGAACAAAGCATAACTATTGGACAGAAGACTGGATGCTGTGAACTTGTGACAAGGCATATGTTATTAATTTCAAAATAAGATCACTTTTTAGCCCTGTCTAAAATAATAGCACTAGGGAATAGGAAAAATGAAGTTATTTAAAGAGCCCTTATCCTCCACTTCTCTTGTATTTTATTTTTTTTTTCCTTTAAGGTCCACTTACGACATTTATGTGATTTTATGTTCCAAAAACAGTTGTAATATATTTTTACGTGACCAATTTCCAGCCTCTCTTTAGCCTTTAGAATTAAACAGGCTGGTAGCAAACAGGCTTACATGTATATATATATATATATATATATATATAGTGATGTAATATATATATATATATATATATATATATATATATATATATATATATATGTGTCTCTTTCAAGAGACAGGACTGGACTGAAAGAAAAGGGAGGGGCTATACAGCTGTTGGCTGAACAGATGGATATCTGTAAATGTGCTGGTTTTCATGACATCACAAATCCAGTTAATTCAAAAAAATAAATCAGTCTGTTTTGGCTTATTTTCCAGATACGGACCAGGGGGCAAACAGCACATTTTGAAACAATGGTTACATACTGCATTCAATACTTTTATTTCATATTTTACTTTTATTTTTATTAAATTCTAAAATAGAAAGTATTTGGTCACAAACACCAGTGGGAACCTAAAAGGATCTGCAAACTAGTGACATCACAGATCTATTCAGTACAAAGTTTTTGAGTTGAGGGGTTTCTGGCTTCAGCAAGTGAAATACATGCTTCATTTGCATAGTTGGTTTTAAAGACTGTTTGGTCTGCAAGTTTTCACTCGTGTTTTGGGTCATTGCCTTGTTCCATTGTAAAGCAGTCCACTGAGTCTGGAAACATTGTCTTGTAAACAGACAGATGAGGTGATTGTGCACACTTCTGAAGCCTCTATGCTGCTTTAATCTTCACTTACATCACCAATTAGATGAGTCAGCAGACTCAGAGCCTGCCATGCTCAGATAGCCATGTCACTATTTCCACTGTGCTTAGATGAGCTGGTGACAGCTCAGTAACAGTAACGATCACGCATGAACAGTAAAAATGATGTTATTCAAAATAACATATATGTAAGTCCTACTATATAAATGAAAGCAATGTGTGTCATAATAATGTCTTCATTTATGTACATATTATACAACCCTATTTCCAAAAAAGTTGGGACGCTGTGCAAAATGTAAATAAAAACAAAATGCAATGATGTCCAAATTATTTAAACCCTATATTTAATTGAAAATAGTACAAAGACAACATATCAAATGTTGAAACTGAGAAATTTTTATTGGTTTTTTTGCCTATCTTGAATTTGATGCCAACAACATTTTCCAAAAAAGTTGGGACGGGGCAAAAAAAAAGACTGATAAAGTTGTGCAATGCTAAAAAAAACACCTGGTGGTTGATTGACAACAGGTCAGTAACATCATTGGGTATAAAAGGGCATCTCAGAGAGGCTGAGACTTTCAGAAGTAAAGATGAGGAGGGGTTCACCACTCTGTGAAAGACTGCACGATCAAATAGTGCAACAATTCAAGAGAACGTTTCTCAACATAAAATAGCAAAAAACTTTTGCTTTTCATCACCTACGGTACATAATAACATTAAAAGATTCAGAGAATCTGGAGAAATCTCTGTATGGAAGGGACAAGGCCAAAAACCAGTATTTGCTGGCTGTGATCTTTAGGCCTTCAGCATTAAAAACAGACATGATTCTGCAGTGGAAATCACTGCATGGGCTCAGGAACACTTCTGAAAACCAATGTCTTTGAAAACAGTTTGTCACTGCATCCACAAAGGTAAGTTAAAACTCTAAAACGCAAAGACGAAACCACATATAAACAAGATCCAGGAATGCTGCCACCTTCTCTGGGTCTCATTTAAAATTGACTGAGATGAAGTGGGAAAGTGTTCTGTGGTCCGACGCATCAACATTTAAATTTTTATTTTGGAAATCATGGACACTGTGTCCTCCAGGCTAAAGACCACTCAGCTTGTTATTAGTGCACAGTTCAAAAGCCAGTATTCATGATTGTATAGGGGTGCATTAGTGCACATGGCATGGATGACCTGCACATCTGTGAAGGCACCATTAATGCTGAATGATATATACATGTTTTGGCAACATATGCTGCCATCCAGATGACATCTTTTTCAGTGAAGGCCTTGATTATTTCAGCAAGATGATGTCAAATCACATTCTGCATGTATTACAACAGCATTGCTCCATATTAAAAGAGTCCAGGTGCCAAACTGACCTGCGTGCAGTTCAGACCTGCCATCCACTGAAAACATTTGGCTCATTATTAAATGAAAAATATGACAAAGGACACCCCAAACTGTTGAGCAGCTGAAATCATATATCAAACAAGAATGGGAAAAAAAATTTCACTTTCAAAACTACAGCAATTGGTCTCATCAGTTCCCAAACACTTACAGAGTGTTGTTAAAAGAACAGGTGATGAAACACAGTGGTAAACATGCCCTCCGTCCCAACTTTTCTGGAACATGTTGCTGCCATCAAATTCAAAATAGGCATTTATATTTATGTTCTGCACAGCGTCCCAACTTTTTTGGAAATGGGGTTGTATATGACCAACATGTGTAATATATGTGCATATGTAATAATAATATGTATCAAAGTACATATATGGAATAAGAGTTGTCTACGCCTAACCTAACAAACCAAGAAGCCCAGGTTAATCTGGGCCTGAAAATCCTGACAGTCAGGATGGAAGAGAAACTTTATGACAGTTCATTCAGGAACGCCAGCAATCTCTGCCCAGATATCAACTCAAAAGCGGGCCTATCCCAACTTCACTTAAAGAGAACATCATTCTCGGGGTTGGGCTGGTCAGGGTGTGGTGGCCTTTGTATTGAAAGAGGCTCTCTTGTTATGAAAGGGTTTTCTCTTATTGCCCATCGTTTTGCTTACAATAACATACCAGTGCTTTTGTCTGAATCAGGTGTAGTACAGGACACAGCCTACATGTTATCATCAGCATCTGAAGCATTTCATTCTCTTTAAGGGTCCTGCTGATGCTCTAAAAAACACACTATCACTACACTGATGAAGAAAGAAAAGACAAAAATCATTCTAAACAATTCACACTCACAATTGGACGGTATTGTTTGTTTATAAGACCACATATTTTTTACCTTATTTGCTCTTTAATTTACTTAACAATTAAGTTACTAATTAAAGACTAGTCATAGATATATCTGTTTCTAATGTTTTTGATAACTGTCCTTTGTAACTTTTTCAAATTATTATAACAGAAAAAAATCAGTGTTTTAATTTTTGTTTGATATAAAATTCAGTGTTTAAAATAAACTCATAATTAAAATAAATACATAAATTTGATGTTTTCTATACAATTTAATCACATGCATTATTTGTTTTCAAATACCTGATGACATGTCCCCTTGCCTTAACTCTTGAGAGTTAAGGCAAGTCTCTTGAGAGTTCCTGTCCCGTCTTCCACAAACTGGGAGCACATTTCAGTCATGGTTTGTGTTTGCCTGTTTCAGCATTTCACCTGCTGTTCCTAGCTGAGATTTAGTATTGAGGTCTGGTGATTTTGCTGATCAGTCAAACGGTCCCAGTTTTCCATTATGTTCTTTATGTCCACCAGGCACATACAGACACCCTACAGTTGTCATCCTGGAATGTCGGGATGTCAATGCTGCATTCTGCTCAGACATGCAGACAAGCACAAAGTTAGTGGATGAGTGGGCTAAAATGGATAGGAATCTCTCTCTCTAGTTCTAGTTCAGAATAGCTTTATTAACGTGACTGTGAGGTACAGTATTGCTAAAGCATCACAACAGTAGAAGTGAACAACAAAAACAGTAATGAAAACAGAATAAGATAACTAAATAAGATAATAAAGATAACTAAAGATAATAAAGATGTTAAAGCAAATGTTAAAGAATAAATGATAAATGCGTCTAATGTTTTGTCCAGGGAGTTTATTATGAGGCACACGTGTCATATGCCCTGTATGATCAATCACTAATAACTATAATTAACAGTATCTCGTTTGGCTCATTTAGAAATGCATAAAACTTTGGAAATAAAGTTTCCTACAGCGGCTTCTGTCACCTAAATCAATGGAGTGATCAGTAATAACCCAATCCTCTCAGACTGGCGCCCAGAGAAAGTTAACAGTCATGAATATCCACCATACGGCCTCACACAAAGGAATGAATGAGAACAAAAGCGAGAGATGAGGACCGTCCGGGGATTTCATTGGACGTCTGGCGTTCTGTGGGCGTGGTTATTCAGATCAGGGGGTGGGGCGCGACCCACACGGCAGACTGAGGACGCGAAGTGTCAAAAGGGAGCGAGGTGTGACTGTGGGAACTCTCTGTCTCTCGTTTTCTCTCTCGCGCTCGCTATTATTCTCCCGTTTTCTCTCTTTTCCCCCCGCACTCTATCTGTCCCGTTTCCTCTCTGTTATCTCTCTCTTTCTCCACCCGTCCCTCTTTCTCTCTGTCTCTCCCACTCTTCTTACTCACTCCTACAAGACTGTTTCTCCACTTCTGCCCACTCACCTTCTCAGCCTCTGTCACTGAGGGGTGTCTCCGGTAGCAGCGGGCGGTGGTTGGTGTCCTGGCCGAGCGCAGGGAGTTCTAGGCGGTGACGGTTGTTGCCGGTGCGGGCGATGGAAGGGCAGGGCAGCCGCTGTAAGATCGTGGTGGTGGGCGACACTCAGTGTGGCAAAACGGCGCTGCTGCACGTGTTCGCCAAAGACAGCTACCCTGAGGTAAGCTAACCTGGAGACTGGAAATATGACTGACCAGTTAGGCTACTACCCACCTCTGGATGCTACGACTTCTAATGGGCATAGAATTATACAAGTAGATAGTTTTAAACTACATTTGCTCTGGTACCAAAGACTACACGCAGTAAAAATCCCTAAATCTGTAAGTCGTAACTCGTGTGCACTTGACTGTAGCCACCTGAGAAGCTCAGCTTTGAGAGACTGTATAGCAGACTTGCCCAGTTAAGTTCTGGACTTTCTATTTGTGCAGTTCTGTTTCTACGAGTTTATTGGGTGTATTTTCGTCTAATGCACAAAAAAAAAACAAAACAAAAAAAAACAGTTTTATTGAGTAACATTTCTCACTGCTCTAGGTTATAAACTCTATTAATGACTGTGCACTTTTAATTGTTCTGGCAGCTCTTCTTGTTTTTGCCTGCCAAGAGTTTTGTTACATGGGCACTAGTTTTTTTTAGACCCCAGCTCAAGGCTATCTTTGTACACAGCTCACTTTGAGACTACAACTTTTGAAAAGTTGCTAAATTAATATTTCTGCATAATTCAATTGTTAATATGTGAACAAGGTCATTTAGAGTGTTTTGATGGTATGAAATGGTGCACTGTAGGGAAACTTACTGACTCTAATTTGTTCACAGTGGTGGTAATAGGAACTGGGGGAGTTGCAATGTCCACAACAGAAATATAGCCTTTTTATTTACTAGCCAGAAAGACAAGTGAACCTACATCCACATCCACATCCCTTCTGAGTTTTTATATGTAATGTTCATAAAGTTAAAACAGTATTAAATTAATAAATAATTATCTTAATAAATAATAAATCTTTGGGGACTATTTTACCTCACCACACCCTGCATGGTCCTCTCCACCATGAATGTATTTTTAAAAATACATTTTAGGCCAAAACCCTATCAAAACAGTGTTTCTGGCATCAGGCAACATATGTGTAACCACCTCATGTAATAACCCTCGGTGTGGTAACTTTTAGAGGCATTAAACACTTCAGACGTCTGGTTCCTATCACCACCACTGTGAACAATTCTGACTTGATATCTAGAACTGATGATTTCACACAAAATCATTCCAAATGACTTTGTTTACGGAATGTCTGCATTAGTGGAAACAAACATGTAGAATTTTCTCTATACATAGGTTAACAGTACCAACTTCATTTGCTATGTACGTATGTAAAATGTACATATGCCTTTTAAGGAGAAAGCACATGCTGCTTTGCTGTTGCTCTTAGTGTTTTATTTCAGACCCAAATGATCCCAAAAAGAGAGCAACAGCATGTAATAAACTTCAGTTCCTAGGCTGATGGATGTACTAAGACGTTCCACTGCACTTCTATAAGGAACCCAGTGCTTGAGGAGTTTCTTCACCTGATACTTTCTTTCCTTTTGTTTCTACTTGAGTGATTATTTCATTGAAGTAACAAGACTTCAGACTGGTTTTAGGCTACTCTACCCACTTCTGATAAGTGGGCATATAAATTACAGAAAAGAAGGACAGACAGTGATTTCCAACCCCCACTGCACGGCCCATGCAGGCCTGGTTGAAGTTGTTTGCTCGTGTTGTTTCAGAGCTACGTGCCCACCGTGTTCGAGAACTACACTGCAAGCTTCGAGATTGACAAACATCGGATTGAGCTGAACATGTGGGACACGTCAGGTAAGGCTTTTTTTGGATCTGTAATGGTGACATTACCCAGTAATAAACTGATTTAGTAAAGGCTGCCATTGGAAAATAGCTCAGGGTCTGTGGTCATCTCAAGGTCAGTTTCGTCTTCTAGAGGTTCTAATTACAAAGGAGGATATCGGTGTACTGTGGTGATGATAATTTCTTTATTTGGATATTGTTTTTATGAGAAGTTTCATTTGGTGTAACAAATTTTGGAGCCATGTTTACTGTTTGCATTCCTTTGTTCGTGGCGGACTGCTTGTGTGGCCTGTGCTACCCGAGAGAGCATGAGCTTGAATTAGGGATGTGCTGATATGGGAATTATGGATCGATGCTGATATCTGATATTGTTCATGTCCATTCCTGCCAATGTCGACACAGACGTAATTACAATATAAGTACAACATTTATTTCTGTAGGTTTACAAATGCAGTAAAACAAATACAACTGAGATATTTTGGCACCATAACCCAGTGTCACCTGAACATTCTGCTCTTCTTGAGTAAAATAAATAGAATGTACATTATACATGAACTGAACAGGGTAAATGTGGCCTCTTTGCAGTCTCTTCTGATTCACTTTTCTTGACTTTTCTTTCTGCTGTTGAGTTTCTTGGAAAACTTGCTCAAAGCACGATTTCTTTTCAGACCAAATGAATTGCAAAGACCCTTTTGAACATGGCTTATAAGAGGCTTTTTTTATAGAAACATTAAGTTTCCTGTAAGCATGCTTTCATCCCTTTATACTGGAAAACAGCTTGAGTCTAAAAAGCTCAGTTAACAGCCATGACTAAGAACAGCAAGCAAAAGGCCTAATTTATATTGCTATTAGGACCTGATGGCTACTGTTTTTACTGATAAAATAGTCCCATATTAAGGGTTTCCAGCCAATAAAACACCAATTAGGTCTCTTTAAATGTAGCCGAAGAGCCACATTCAGGAATGTTGTCCAGCTGCATTAAGGTTAGATTTACAAGTGGCTTGTTCTATGTTTATTTTATTTAAGACTATGTAAGTTTCTGCTTTTTATTTATTTAAGAAATTTGACAATTGACAACTGACAATCATATCAGTCAGTAAAAAATATATTAAAATATTATGTCAGCTGATATTATCGTTTGTCAGAATTTTTAACCTTTAAAATCAGTATCACTATAGGTAGTCATAGGCAGGATACCGGTTCATACAGTAATCTTTATATGAAGCACAGATAATGCAACATGCAGATCACGCTAACACTAGCACGTTTAGCTGAACGGCCGAGTCAGGGATGTTTCGGTCCATCACCGCTGTGTATTCAGTTGCAGTCTGAGGCAGTCCAATACTTCTGAGGCAGATGACATAACAGAACTATGAAAGGAATGACCAGTCGCTTGAATACACCCCACTGCTTGCCACTCTGTGGGCGTGTTCAAACTTTTGCATATATTGTTCAGTTCTAATTTGAATATTTTGCACAATAAAAGTATTTCAGATATAGTTCAGTTGTTAAATATGTTTTTATTTAAAGTAGAGGGGCATCCCTGAACAATAAGCCACTGTTAACTAGTTATTGGTGACAAAAAATGTTTATATCAGTCTTGCTATTAAATATGTGTGTTTTCATTATTAAATGTTTACAGATTTGCATGTCATTCAAAATATTGCATCAGTTTGTAAAGATGTTTGTACCGGGATATTGGTGTGTCAAAACGAGCCTCAGAAACGTACGTGGTTGAATGCCGTGTAAGCTTTGCAGCAGCTCTGCATGAGAAGTGTGTGCATGTGCATGTGTGTGTGTGTGTGTGTGTGTGGATAGGGTTGTCAGTGTGGATCTTGGCACACCGGGTGTTACGCTACAATGCTGTTTACGCACTTGCCCTGACACACACACAGACACATGCATTTAGAGGTTTCTCAGCGAGTGTGACCTATAAAACACTCACTTAAGGCCAGTGGGGTATTTCCTCACCCTGCAATAAAGTTATTTCAGGCATTTTTTTCTCATATTCCCTTTCCATTTTCTGTGGGAAAATGTTCCCAGGCTGGCCTGCGGTTCTCTCTGGGGGACTGATCAGACCAGTCTTGCCCTGTTAGAGCATATATTTTGTCGCTAATGCCCCTTTGGCCTTGGGAATGGACTCTAGCAGTTTCCAAATCAAGTAGGTTGGTCTGGATATCTGTGAACTTTCAGTTTTGCAGAGTCTAAAACAAACAGGCTATGTGACAGCTTGGTGTCATTGGCCCTGCATTTTGTAATGTTTACTGTGCCGGTCCAGGCTCCTCACTGGCAGATCAACAGTTGCGCCCCATGACCCAGACTGCAAAGGGAGTAAAAAGCAAAGGCCAAAACATGGGGGGAAAAAAAAATCCCAAAACAGGACTAAGATACAGTTTTGACCATTCCAGAATTTTGACGTTGATACTAATACCAAGTTTACTGTTACAATGCTTCATATCCAAACCATTCTACGGCAAATGCTGAAAAAACATATCGTCACTGTCAGAACAAAACTGTAATTAATAACTTTACAGGAGAAGGCAAAAAAATACTATGTTTTTTTTTCCAAGAAATTTTGAAAAATTTCTTTTGGTCCATTCATTGTGAAATTTAGACACAGTGGAAATGGCAACATGTTTAAAATAAGTAAAAAAAAATGGACAAAATAGAGAAATGAGGTTTTGTTCTGACAGCAACAATATCATTGTCTAAAGAGATGTGTACTAAACTGAACACAGTACAATATTCAGATTGTTACAGATTCAAAATTAATATTTCATTTAAAATAGCCTTATTCACATGTTCTGAAAAGAAGGTAGTGGATTGGTAGTGAGACAGTAATATATATAATACATCCTAAAATTCATTGCAGAAATGGGTTATACCTTATATTAATTGTTTTTAGGGAGTTAAGGTTACATATATTACTGAGTCATGGCTCTTCCTGAGGAACATCAATATTAACAAAGAATGAACTAATGTCTTTAGGCCAAATTTGGCCCAAACAACCTTGCTGATTTCAATTCCAGAGGTGTAAGAATAGACATATTTTCAGGTTCTACATGATTTTGATTGACTTTTCAACATTTTGTGTTAATCAAAAGATTATATACTGCTACTAGTATGTACTAAGTTAAAGTTTTCATGCTTTGTGGTTTCTGAGAAAGGAGGCAAATGATTTTTTGATGCTGTTTTGAAACTGTTACATGCTTACTGTAATCTGATAGAATTAAGGCCAAGGGCAAATCAGTGTTTCAGTACAGGCTGGACACTTGTGGCCTGAGATAGGATGATTATATGTATTATTTATGGTACTACAGTGATATCATGCAGCTTTGAGTGAATTCAAGTCAAGGACGAGGCCAAGGGAACACAGGTAGAATTAAATGCCTTCTGCTTTCACACTATACAGACTATTCAGTATTTGGTATGTGTGTGTGTGTCTGGCTGCGCTGACCATCTGGAGAATCAGGCCGATAATTAGCAAGCGATTATGTTGCATGCTAATGAGGTCCCTGCGTGTCTGTCTTTGAGAGTGCCATGACATAGTTCTCTGGGAGGAAATGTCACCATGTCAAAGCAGCTGATTGGACAGATTGATTATGCTGTCACAGACCAGTCAGCTTGTTGTAAAGAAGTAAGGTCACAAAAAGGAGCTTGAATGCCCTATCTGACACAAATCTACTAGTGCATCTCTAAGGGTGGGCGATATGGCAGTCACTGTGTTATTATTGTCATCATGATCAATTATGTCACAGTACTTTTCTGAGTGTATCATGGGTGTCATCAAAACACCAAACACCAAATCACTGACCAAATCCTAAAATGGAAGTCCAGACTGATTTTGAGGGCAGTTTCCAAGTATACACTTGTAATTTGAACACCATAGATCACTACATCAGCTGACTGTGCACCAAAGTGCATTGTGAGTCTCTTGTTACTAAGTAACGGACAGAGGAACGTTAGCTAGCGTTTACAGAGGCTGATGAGTCTACTGTAAATGAAACTTATCAGATCCTAATGCTGCATTTACAAACTGTTGGTCATCATATACATTTGTGTGGACTTGTTCTAATGGTAGAAGCATGCACTTTTACAATAACAGCGGCAAAAGCTGTAGCTCCTGTGATGAAATTTTGGGTTCCTTAAAGACTTCTTTTAGCATCTTGTGGTCTGCTCTTGGGTTAAGTTTGATGGGGTGGCCTGGCCTGGACAGGTTGCCAGTTGCCATTTGTAGATTACCTTCCGAACAGTGGAAGGACTGACTTCTAATATTTTTTTAAACACTTCTCAAACCCCTTCATAGTCTCATAGGCATCTTCAACCTTCTTTCGGAAGACCTCAGAGAACTCTTTCGATCTAGGCATGATGATGCCCCAAACTCTAATAACAAAGACCAGATATGTGAGGTCTATATTAGACAGGTTATTTCAAGATATTCTCTAATGGTGTTCTAATCGTTAGCACCTCATTGAGTAGACCTGATGTCCATTTGACACATTTGAAGAAGTGATTATATATAGGGGTGTACTTAGTTTTTCCACATAATGAAATCGCATTTCTGTTTATTTCAGTTATATAAAAGATGAAAAAATTCTTTTAAGTGTAACTTGTTAAATTAGATCACTTTATTTACCAACTTATCGATATAGATATGTCCAAATATGATGACAAAAGTCTGGACTTTTCACATGTGTATTTACTTCTTCACATGACTATATATGGCAATTAGCTATTGTTTTATCCATTGTCCACTTGATTGTAAACCTCGTTTGTTTGATAACCTTTTATGAAGTGCACAGTCGTTCAGTGCTGATGATCTCAATTAAATACTCAGGAAAGCGTATTGTGACATCATTTGTACTGTGACATCACAGTAACAGTCTCTTTCTCTCTCTCTCTCTCTCTCTCTCTCTCCCTCTCCCTCTCCCTCCCCTTCTGCCCATGTGGCTTCCTCTCTGCGTAGTGTTTGTTTATGTACTCCCGATTGCTCCTCTACTTTGCTTGTAAAG